GCAAGGGGGTGTGATAAATAAGGGGGTGTGATAGCGCGTCCGAACACCCACAGCGTGTGTTTGGGGGTGTCATAACAAACGAACAGCCACAGCGTGTGTTTTGGGGTGTGATAAAATGAGGGGTGTGATACCGATACACTGCACACCATTACCGTATAGAGTCGAACCGCTGCTGCCGTACACCTGAAAGGGTGTGGTATTGCGGAGGTGTGATAGGTATACATGCCTGCACCAACACGTGTAGTGTATTTAGGGACCTACGGTACCTAAAGGGGCGCGGGACAAAAAACAAAGTGGCTCAACCGAGGTGAGGGAACGCCTGAGCACATGGCCTCGGCGAGATCAACCTTCTCAACGCAAAAAAAGTTGGAAACACGATACGGGCTTGAATGGAACAAGAAAGTATTGTAAGTCGAAGGTATCTCGCCCAATACGATGATTGGCGGTGGGCACAGAGTGCGCCATCCTTTCTGCCCCCCTCACAAAAGGTTGGCTGCTGCGTGCCTTGCTTTGGGTACGAACCAAAGAGAGTTACCTAGGTACCTATATCGGTACGTAAGAACACCACGAACAAGAATCGACGACCGCAAACCGCAAACCAACGAAACACCAACAACGCTGCACTCCACGCGGCGAAGAAAACAGGTGACTTTTTTTCTCCATGACATGAGCGTGAGCGTGGCATTTTCACTAAAGGCGTGACGGTGACGGTTCGGGGTGTCGTGTTTCTTCTTCTTCTCGTGTTCTGTTTTTTGGCGCTCGTGTGTCGTTGTGTTTCTGGACGAGCAGTGGCACCTACACACGCCCCCTCCGTCCATCTACCCTCTCACTCTGCTGTCCCTTGTAGTAGGCAACACACCGCACATTTTCTCTTGCGGTACACAGCAGCGCCTGCCTGTGGTGCACATGTAGAGAGGACACGCTCACGTACTAAGGCGGGGGCAGCGGTACGGTTTCAATGCGCCCGGCTGACTAGCATAGGCTACATATCATAAAGCATTAGATACAATCAAAGGCGACCAGCTGGTGGGGAACCAAAGCCAACGGTCGATATCTGTTTAGGTACGGCTGCATAGATGCGTTCCGACACACACAGGCTGCCACCTCCATCACCCCAAACCGCTTTACGAGGCGCCTGATGGTGTAGGGTAGGAGGAGGGGGGGGGGAGGCGGGGCGAGAAGATCCCCAAAACGAGGGTCTGGTCACATGGATGGGATGAAGGCGCGCACACCACTTAAAAGAAGGAATTACAACCTCGATTGCTGTATGGTACAGCTCGTACCGTATCGCCAGGCTATGCATCCAAATGTTGTGTGTCGCACACTATTTACAGCAGTAATGTATGTACAGCAGTCTGCGGCCGGAATAACTACAGGCCGGTGGGCGGGAAGTCATTGGTTAATAGACTGGAGCGGCCATAGGGTTATGATACTGGAAGGTTCAGTTCGGCACTTTCCGTGTCTCCAGCAAGGGGAGACGGGCGACGTGGATTGCGGTCAATGGAATGGCATTCGTTCATGGCACACCAGCGTGTCCCGCGCCTCTCCCTCTCCACGTTTTTCGTATTTTGTGCAAATGTTCGGGATTTCCGGCCGAGCAAATGATCTGCGTCTCTCTCTCTCTCTCTCTCTCTCTCTCTCTCTCTCTCTCTCTCTCCCTTGCCGGCCTTTGGTGTCCGCCGCCGTGCCTGCCACAAAGGAATTCGTCCGCAGCTCGGCTGAGCGATCGCCGCGGGCTATTGCGGCGTGTTCCTCCCGGCTATTCTGCTGTCTGTGGGGTGAGCAACACCTGTTGGATAGCGTTTGGGGTGCAACCGCGCACACTTGCTGTGACACGCTTCTCCTCTCCCGCTCTCTCTCTCTCTCTCTCTCGCTCTCTCTATCTCTCTCTCTCTGTAGCAAACAAAAAACCGTGTACCACAAACAGCACGGTTGAAAAAAAGTCGCCAAAAGAGCAGACCAGCACACTTGCCTGCAGAAGCGCAACACACTTCTTGGCGAGAGCCCACCGTTCCGCCCTCGTTCTTCCATGCTCCTGCTCCTCCCTTTCGCCGGAGAAGCTGCTGTTGAGATTGCCCATCCGTCTCCCTCGGGCAAAGCTGTGCTCAATCTACACAGCTATCTCTTTGATGAGCCACCGACGACGTGTTGAACAAAAACACCACACACGGCAGCAGCTTGCCTTGCCGGGGTACAGTGCCAAAGATATATATACACCAGCTTGATCGATAGCCGCGCCGACAGGTTTGAGTAGCCTCGCGCGGATTTCGTCAGAGAGGATGCCAACACGCTGTCTAGTTCCCCTCTAGCTCTCCGGCTGCTTTTCCATACCCTCTGTGCTGCTGTCTCTATGCTGCTTTGCTCCGTTACCCCACGAAACCAAATGGCCAAGCGGGGTGGGGGGGGGGGGGGGGGNGGGGGGGGGGGGGGGGGGGGGGGGGGGGGGGGGGTGCGCAGACTGGGGTGCTCTTCTCCGTGGCTGGCTGTTGGACGTTGGACATTATGTGTCCGTTGGTTATACAGCAGTGCAATCCATCCCTTCATTTTCCTTGAGCCGGGGGGAGGGCGGTTGCAGCGGGCGTCCTCTCTGGCCGTGTCCTAATTACAACCAAGTATACAATTTCATACCATCACAAGAATCACGTTTCTACGTGGCGAGGTGTACCCGGGGTCCTCTCGACAAAAAAGGCCGACGACCCATGACTCTTTACAGAGGGTGCACAACCGACGCTCCCGCTGCATTGCTGTACTGCTATGCTGTGCGAAGGAGGATGAGGTGGAGGAGAAGAGACCACGATGCCGATGGAGCGAAACCCCTCGGCCTGGACCCTTCCTGCTGGCATCTCGCTTGGCCGGCGAAGGGCTGGCCTGAATATGGTGCTGCTCACCATGGTCTACTGCTGTACGAACCCAACAGATATCTACGGTTGTATCCAAGTAGGTGGCGGGTAAATAAATAAATAAAGCTGTGAGTTCCGCTTCGGCAGCTTGCTTGACAGGAGGAACGTTCGGTCGTGTGCACGATACGTAGTCGGCTTGATGTGAGTTTCCTCGATGAAACAGCATCGGCCGCGCTAGCTAACTGAACAGACCAACGTCTTCGTATGTGTTTGAATCAAATACTGTACTTCAATCGGAGCAGTCATCATTGCCTTTGTACCGTTCTTCGGTACACAATCATACGAGAGCACACAACTCACAAGGGTGCCCACAGAAAAGTGAAAACGACACCTATGCGTACGTCCTACTCCGTGGTATTAGAGAGGTCGAAATGAAAAAAAAACAGTGAGAGAGAGAGAAAGGTGGCCCGCAATTAAATGATTGGCCAAAAATTTGAAAGGAACGTTCCAAAGAAAGGGAATAATTCCTTGGTCGTCCGATGACGTCATCCACGGCGGAGAAGTCGCCTTTCGGCGAAATTCAAAATTTGAATTTTGGCCGTGGATGACTGAATTGATGATTCCAGCACAGAGTAGTCACCCGCCCTCTCGGGAATCACCCAACCAAACAAACAAGGAAGGGCTCTCCGTGAATAATGGAGCAGGGGTGACAAAGCACCGATCGCAGGGTCATCTCCTAGTATCTATCTCTCGATGGTTGAGGCACGACTCAGCTGCGCGAGGTCAAAGCGAAAAAAGGAGACGAAAACTGAAATTTGGTTTTGGTGACCTCCCTTCCTCCAAACCGTACATCATTCATTCAATCATCAAAAAGCCTCGGACCGTGGTTGACGATTCGCGCAGATCCGTGGATAAATTTTGTGTCCTTCAAACTAGATACAAGACATGTTGCGTGGTCTCAAAAAAAGGGTTGCCTCATCGTCGACTGGGCCATCACCACCAGGATACAGATGGTGCTGCGTGGAGCAGGTGGATCAGGCCGAACCCCTGCCAAACAGGAATAACGGGTGGCGCTACAAAGGGCCACGAGGGGTAATGTATCGTCGACAGGCGGTCTTCGGAACAGGATACAGGGTTCGTATCTCGGCCACGTCCCGTGGACCGGGATATAGATGGTTCAATTCGCACCCCGCCGGCGGTGATCCTTCACTGGAAAACTTTCAATCCTGGGCAACAAGGACGTGGCGGCGCGGTTTGGTCCACCCGAGAGACGCAGATGCTTGGAAAACCGCCTTCATTGACGTCGAGGGCGGTGGCCGGGGGCAGCTAGTAGTCTCGGCGGCGGATGACACCTGGCGAGCGATTCTCTGCTGGGGATCGGCGGGCAGAAGGATCGAGATCGACCACGAAGGCATCCCGGCGTCCTTGTCAAACCTCCAGGTCCGCGCCGGCATCGAGTCCTCGAGTCCTAGGTTCAGACAGCTCAACATCGCCTCCTTTGGTCACAGGGTTGTGAGATACGAACCTCTAACAACTTTCTGCATGACGTGGAAGAAACGACTCCCGGGTGCTTGCCTCGCTGTGCTCGTCGCGGACGCCTGGCGAGACTGTCAACTTGACCTTTTGATACGAGAGCGACGGAGATTTGGATTCCGGGATGTCGACCCCATCACGGGTTCGTTCATGAACTCCACTGGTGGTGGGCGGCGAAGGGAGGGTGCCACCACACCCTTGAGGAATGCATTGGATGGTGGCAACTACTTCCGCAACCTGTTTTCGGTGCTGCTTGATCGCGACGTGGGGAGCGAAGAGTTCGATACGTGGCTTTCTGGGGTTAGTGAACCACCCGCCCTTACACTGCGAGACCTGGAAAAGTGGCTCAACAAGACTAGGGCAAACGTCGTCGTGTGGTCACACAGGGGCTCTGGCGATCATGTTCTCGGGCCAATCGACAAGAAAACAGATCTCCGGCCGCGAGCATTACACGTTGGAGTTCGTGAGGGACACGTTTACCGGTTGGAGCTCGACGGGCCCTGGAGGGACAGGTTCGGATCATCTTTGGACGTGGCCATCGAGCACAGTGTTAAAACCCAGCGAAGATTCCGTCGGATTGCCGAGGCCGTCGAAGAGAAAGACAAACCGGACACCACTGATTGCGGAAGCAAGAAGACCTTCTTGTGTGTCGCTGATATTGTGAGCGATCTCATGGCCATCAACCAATCAGAGGAGGAGAACGGCCACCAACAGGCAGCACGAAAAAAGCGGAAGCGTGGAAAAAGAAGATCAGAGTTCAACACGTGGTACGCGCCGCCCGGAACGGTTCTCGACGAGCTAATGCTCCACTTGCACCTCGTTGGAGTCTCTTGCAGGGGTAGGCTTACCAGCTACAGCCACTGGGACTCCCTGTCGCTGCCGGCACACGGTATAACCATCCGAACGTGGTGCAGCGCGAGCATGGGCGGACTCGATCCTGATGAGCTCGAGCCCGACCAAGCGACAAGATTGATCGAGCTGCACAATGAACTGGGTCTGAAGTTTTACCACGGCGTGTTAGACTTTAGAGTGTCGAGCCAGTATAGCCAGTCCCTCCTCGCCCTTCTCGAGGTATGCTGGCGGGGACCAATCGTCGGCGCCGAGGAAGTGTCGGGAACTTCTTACGGGCCGGAAGATTGGCAGTGTGACATCAACGGGGCACACACGGCGGCCCTTATGAGCATGGAGGTAGTGCCAGTTTTCGGCCACGTGGATGAGGTGGAGGAGTACGATGACCACGGCATTGAGGATTGGACCCTGTACATTATAGAATTGGATGCATTCGGCAAACCCGACGTATTCTTTAACGCGGATGTGACACCAGTCTTCGGTAGAAACTACAAGCGTTACCTCGACCTCGTCGACACTGCTGCTCGCCACAGAGTTACCCACTTCGTGCGGCCGTCGAGAATAGTCAGCATGTGCCACATACCCAAACTTGTGAGAGACCTGCTCGCGCATGAGCCGGGTGATCCCTTCCTACAGGATGCAGACTGCGCCCGCAAATTCAAAAAAGGAATATTCGTGCGGGCCAGTGGCATGTTGCAGCAGAGATACGCAGACAGGATAGACGCTGTCATGGTTACGGGCTGTGACGAGGCTTCCGCTGTGGGCGGCAAAATTGTGCCTGTCCTAGGCGAGGTCGATCGCGTGAAGGCTGAACTTCGGACGGGACAGGGGAAGCTTGGGATCGAGTCACTTCGCACTGGTGATGCATACCTTTGTTTGGATGCGGAACGAACATGGTACAGAGATGGTTTCTGGGCGTTGGGTGCGCTCATTCTTGACGAAACTCGATTGCGAGTGTTGGAGGCGAGGAACGCTCTCGAATCTTGCGGCGCGTGTGACTTTAGCTACCAGTGTGACGCGGTATTCTTCAGGGGATCTTCGTCGGTGCAAGAGAAGATGAGGCTTCGCTTCAGCGATTTGTTTAAAGGTGACGAAACAAAAACTCCTGGCACTCTAAGGTTCGAACCAGCCTTGAAGAATCCGCTTGGTGATGAGAGGCGGGTGTTCGGTGGTATTAAAACCAAGATATCGCTGGACGCGTTACCTCCAGCAATGAGGCGAATTCTTTGCCCACCGAAGCACCGTATGCGGGTCATTCCTCTGTGGGATGGCATCGGTGGAGGCTTCAGTTCGATGGACCATGTTCACGACGCCTGGCGTTCTCTCGAGAGGAACGCCAAGCGCAACCTGTGGCCGGAGATATGCGAGGCCGAGTCGCCATCAAATCTAGAAAGTTTAATCCGCGCTCACATGCTCCAACAAGGTTCAAGGCTCGTGTGTGCGGTGACGGGAGAACATGGGGGAGCGGGGAAGAGTTACTGCGCAACCCGTGCTGCAACGGCCATCTTCAAAACTGGGCTTGTCGTAACCCCCACCAATAGTTTGAGAACGTCCTTCACAGACATGCCATGCGGGTGGAGTGTAAAGACCGCCGACCACCAGCTCGGTTTCTATCTGGGGGATGATTCAGAAATGAGGAAGACGGCGGGGTCGATACGAACGCTCAACGTTGACGTGATCATCATTGAAGAAGCTGCTTATATGCCTCTCCGGACCCTAAGCATGATATTGGCTGCTGCCCATTGCAGCGGCACCCACGTGATCGGGACATACGACACGCACCAACTCCAACCCGTGTGCGATAGCAGCGGCAGGTCAATTAGCAAGGACAACGTCGACAGGAGGGTCATCCTCGAAAAAGCCTTCCCCTTATGCTTTCACGTCTTCGCGCGCAAGCGGGATAAAACTGTCGAAGAACAGGTGGAGATGGACGACGGACTCTTGTACATTCTGGCTGCAGGAGACGACAGTCACGAGGCGCAAACTCGAGCCATTGAGAGGTTTGGTGGGGGGTGTCTCGATAACCCAAGCCCTTCAGATTTTCACCTCGCTTACACTAGAGACTGTGCTCGGTTCCACGCCTTTCGAGGATTGCTGGGGTGCGACGAAGCTGGTGGCTGGGATGGGCTGGGGCGTCAAACAGTCGTAGGTGCTCAATACCGGGACCTCGGGAACCTAGGCAAGGTTCATAAAAATCACACGTACAAAATCATTCGATCCTCAGCAGATGAGGTCGTTGTCGCAAGCGCTTTTGACGGGGCCGTCAGTCTGGAGGAGACGTCACTCTGTCGAGCGGAGGCAGAAAACTTGTTTGACCCTCCGGGGTCATGTACAGTACACGCTGTCCAGGGTCGAACGGTCGAGGGAACGTTGATCATCCACCAAGCCCGGCACCGTCACGCTGACGTCCACTGGTTGTACACGGCAGTCAGTCGAGCGACAGGACCCTCGAGCGTCAGGGTCATAGACGATATTCACCGGAGCGAAAGCGACATGTCCGATCGAGAGAGAGTATCGTGGGTTTCTCGGAAGGTTTCAAGCTACATCTATGCCGACGTTGCGGCCGGGCGTCTTGGGCCAGAAGAGGGTAGAAGGCACAGAGAAGCCCTTGTTCAAGAACTCCTGAACTCTTACGGAGGCAGATGCCACCGGTGTACGTGCGAGCTTGTCTGGGCCGTCTACAGTGAACAGCAGCCAACGCTCGATCGCCTCGACTGCTCGTTGCCCCACACCGCGGAAAATGTGGACGTGAAGTGCTTGAGGTGCAATCGCGCTCGTGGTAGCCTGGGGAGAGGGCGCACGAAAAAAAAGAAAGTAGATCGTAGCGGGAAGGATGAGAGGTAGCCCTATTGTAAGGAAAATGCGGGATATAATGTGTGTCGTTGTTAGTAGTGATCAAAATGGACAAGAAGATCTCAATGTGCGCCAAATGGTTGGAGGAAAAAGAGAATCCACACGAGGTTCTAGAGATTCTGAGAAAGCTACACCCTGGCTCTTTAAACAAGAACGTCGGAAGGGTTCGGGAAGTGTGGATACAAAATTTCGGCGCCGGGCACAACGCAGGTCCCGTCAAGATAGAAATCCGGCAATTGCTCGTCCTTATCAAGAAGAGGTCATCCACGGCAAAGAAAACGAAGGGGCGGAAGGGATACCTGAAACAGCTACAGACGGCCTGGGATCGCGTTGTTTCATTCGGGAAATTAGACCTTCCCGGAAAGTGGTCGGCCCGGCGCGCGATACACTCGCGGAAGGTGTCTTTCACTGGACTCGCCGATGTTGACGACCTCCTTAGGAAGGTGCGCTTGCTACCGCCCTACGTTTCCCGATTAGAGCTCACGCCGGAGGAGAAGAGCATTCCGAGAATAAAACGCCGGGAGTCCTTGGAGGTCAAGTGCAGACGTGGATTAACGGTGCATGCGAGCGATCTCATCGACACCATGGAGTCCATCATCAGATACGCACGCCCGAATTACTTTGAACTTGCTTGCGCGTTGTCGTTTGTGTCTGGGAGGGGTCTAGCGGAGCTTGCTGGGAACGCTGACTTTTCACCAAGCACACGCGGCCCCTACGAGTCTGAGGTTATGATGGGAACTGTGGCCCGGGTCCTCTTGTTGTGCGAGTACAATCACTTCATCGAAGGTCTCACGAGGTTACGCGGCATGAAAGATACCTCCTGTCTCACTGCCGCACAGATAAATCAACGTTACAGCAAGTCGGCCAACATCGCAGCTAGGAAACTATTGCCGGCGGATGGTGATCGACTCGTGTTTGGTGATATTAAGGTTTTGCACTCCGCGATTTCCTATCGGGTATTCAAAGGACACGATTTGGATTTGGTAGGGTGGGTCGGGGTCGTTGTGGGTCATTTGTCGCCGGCGTTGCAACGTAAGAGTTCAGTTATTAGGGTAGAGGGGATTGAAGACTGCCATTGCAGGCAGTGGGGGGAGTATCGTACGAGGGGGGGGTAGAGTTCACACGAATTGAATCGTGGTATAGTATAATGATAAAATGTAAAAAGACCTGAAAATAAATTACTCATACAAAACCTCGTGGGCCAGACAGCAAGCGAACGAGTAGTGTGGGTTTGGAAGCTTTCCAGCAACAACATTGTGGCGCACCCAGGCATGCGTGTATAATGCTGACAACGGAAACAAAGCTTCCTTCCGCTTCTGAGTGTGAGGATCTCCGCGCCGTGTCACAACATTATCTCTGATCGCGTTGTCACGTTTGGGGACCAAACGAAATTAATTATTGAGCGAGTAGCCACAAGCGAGAAGGCATAGACACAGTCGGACACGGGAACAAAACGACATAAACACGAAGGAAAATTGTAGTTGGTTGTGCAAGTCTGCTCGTTGCTCCCTCGCGCCAGCCATCTCGAACCGCTTTCGCAACGCTTCAATGAGTATACATATACAACGTTTTGCCTTCTCAACGTCCGAGGTACGCGCCAACATCGGCAAATCTCCACAAACGAAAAATTTCAAAAGGGCTCACACGTCCCGCTCATGACACATCAGCCCACCAATCTCCCATCCCATTCTACGGTTGTGTTGGTACTTGCTACATGTAGAGGGAAGGGTGAAACCATGATTGCCTTTGATCCAATCAAAGCCAAATGCAGTGGCATTGTTTCCCGAATGTTTCACTGCTGCCCTCCATAACAAGACAAACCTACAAGTTGAAAAAGCTGCTTGTAGCATCACAACAAGTCGAACGCACCGAACAGAATTTGATCAACGGCTACCGATCGCGCGTCTATCGAAATGGTCGAAATCCAACCGTAAAACCACCAATAATCTAAGACAAATCACATTCAATCGGGGGGGTGATCGTAAAACCACCTCTGAGTGATGATATACATACACTGAATCTGCTGATGCGACAAAAATCCATGTGATGGAACAACAACGATGATAACGTAACAACTGTCTCTGTTCCTCCACGCCACCTTCGGATCAAAAAAGACGACGTGGATGGCGGGATCACACATACCCAACCTTCCTACGGCAACACACACATAAATTCCGACACCAGTGTTTTTTTCATCAATTGGTATCGGCACTAATCAGTTGAATGGTTGTGTCTGCTCGAAAAGAAGCCTACACTGGTGCCTCCTTCAAAATCCTCGCCAATGGCAATGGCACACCGCGTCGTCTTCGTCGCACGACTAAAATGTAGTATACGAGTACTTTATAAGTACCGTATGACCAGACCAAACAAAAGTATCTTACATTCTGGAATTCAGCACACTCTTGTAATAATGTGAGACCCACTGAATCAACCTGCTAACCAAAATAACAACTTGACGGGGGGAAACGAAAACTCTCTCTCTCTCTTTCTCTCTCTCTCTCTCTCTCTCTCTCTCTCTCTCTCTATCTACTACTGTATCTATCTCCATATATGTATCCACCTCTCTCTACCCCATGTCCGGGACAAAATTGGCCGGGTGGATGATTCAACGGCAACACACACACCGAACACAAGTGTTTCCCCCCCCTAAATTGGTGTCGGCTGCATTAGCTACTGCTCGAAGATGATGGGTTGTGGCTGCTTGACAAGAAGCCCCTGCTAGCAGGAGGTGCCTGAATGAAAGCCTTCGCCAAGAGACACACCGCGTCGTCTTCGATCCTCACGACGCAATCCAATATGGAACTACACAGAGGACTATCTTACATTCCTGGAATGCAGCATTTACACGGTTGAAACGCCCTGCTTCAGCGCCCTCTTCTTGCCCCTGCTCTTCTGTGGGGCGTTGTTGTGGCGTGCGTTGTGCGTAATCTTTTGCACGACCCGACCGGTCGAGACGTACGGAAGCGCCCATGAGCACAGCCGCCACGATCCGTTGACCTTCTCGACGGGAACAGTCCCTCCGATCTGGCAAGTGGGGTGCTTCCCGCCGGGGTTGTTGGTGTTGTGGGGGGGCAGGATAAGGCAGCCGTCCTCGTCAAGCTGCCAAGAGAATCTGTCCGACTTTGTCACTCCCGCCTCTCCGAACTTGGGTGTGTGGCACCCTTTCGTGGTGATTGGCCCTTTCCCGAAACCGTTTTCACCGGCAAACAGTTGCTTGAGCTTCTCGGCGAGACCCACACCGTCTGCCCCGATGCCGAAGCAGAAGCCACGCGCTTTCGCGGGATTGGGCGGGTCGGGGATGTGCTTGCGCAATCTCGCCGCCGCACCGTTGCTGGGGGCGCCCCCCACCTGGTTCCCCCCAGTTCCTAAGGTCGCGCCTTTTGAAGCATTGAATACAATAATATCCGACGGGAAGAGATGGTCATATATGTAATGCTATTATTGCGAAGCCTGGGATCCTATACAAAAAACGTAGGCTCACGAAAAGTGACTACACATCAAAGAAACACGAGCGATCGACCTGGACGCGAAGTGCTGCCCCAATGCACGCAAAAGGAGGTGGTGTTTTTCTTTTTCGTGACAATGCCTCTGTGGTAATAGCGAATGATGAGAGAAAAAAGAAGCAATACCCAAGAACAACATGGTCCATCGCACGCCACGCTATCGACACATTCTACTGAGCTCGGGGCGGAGATGCTTTGAGTACATGGGATGCCTGTGCACAACTTCAAAGACGGGGGAGCAAATGACTCGACTACAAGGCAATACCAAACAACACCAACAACCTGTTTAGGATATTACCACACTCTCACCGGCGACCGAGGCGTTCTTCACGTGCTGGTGGCCGACGCAGGTGCACTCCTCGGCACTCTCGCAGGGGCAGCCGTGCACGTTGCACGAGTTTGCTGAAAAATATGAGTGTCAAATACACGCGGCGAGAGGGAGGTAATCATCTGAATTCATTGGTAATAGCGAATGATGAGAGAAAAAAGAAGCAAAAGTTCGCGCGCCTTTGTTACGTCTCGACCATGTCACGCGTCCCTCCCTCTTTTGGAAGGGCGTAGGAAAAGATAAATATTTCGTTCAAAGGGTTCATTGCGCGCCCCACTATCAACGCATTAAATGAAGCAGGAGCGGGGTGCCGTGGTTGCGTCGGGTGAACTATCATATCATGAAAGGCGGGGGCGGGTCGGAATGGAACGGGTGCAGAGAATGAAAAACAACAACAACAACAACAACAACAACAACAACACAAACAGAAACGCCTGCAACGAACACGACGGGCGGGGGGAATAGGCTCAATCCACCCATGCACCAGTTGCTCGCTCTTAAGGCATTGCGTTCTGTTCGATCGACTGTCACATAAGCAGAATAAAGAAAAAAAGTCCAATAGCACGCTTTATCAGCATTATAATTTACTCCGCGAGAAACTTCATGCAACGGGCCCATTGCACGCCTGGCTATCACCACATCAAATGCACAAGAGAGCGGGGATGCCGAGAGTAAAGGCGTTGCGCCGCACAACTTGATTGCCGAGGAGGCGGCTTGTAATGTGACCAACAACAACAACGACAACAACAACAACAACAACAACAACAACAACAACAAACAGAAACGCCTGCAACGAACACGACGGGCGGGGGGAATAGGCTCAATCCAACCATGCAGCAGTTGCTCGCTCTTAAGGCATCGCGTTCTGTTAGATCGACTGTCAAATTTTCATTCCAAAAGTCAAAAAGCGCGCTTTGGCGGCATTATAATTTACTCCACGAGAAACTTCATTCAACGGGTCACTTGCACGAACACGCTATCGACATATCAAATGCACAAGGGAGCGGGGATGCCGATATTATATGGGGTGCAGGGCACACGAGGAAAGACTTGCCTCCCTTGGCACCCATCTATCATATTTCATTTAAAACAACCAACAAAGTTCAGAATATCACAACAAAAACAGCGCAGGTGCAATTGTCGGCAAGGAAGGGCAGCCGGCCGCATTGCACCGAGGTGTAAACGCATCCGATCGGAAAAGTTCTAGAAACAACGGGAACATTGTCAAACTAAATTGTGTACCACATCTACACCACCAACACACAAGGACAGCAACAACAACATGCAACACCCACCGACCACGAGCGCAACAACAACGACAAAAGCGTTCCGAATCGTCTTACCTCCGAGTCTCCCTGGAGTAACCCAGATCCGTGCGACGAAGAGTGAAAGGCGAGAAGTCAGAGCACAAAGTAGACACGGGGAGTGGAGAGGGTCGGTTTGGGGAAGCAAGCAGAAAGTTCTGAGCACACATCGACTACATTGGTAACGTAACAACAACAACAACAACAACAACAACAACAACAACAAATATAAAAACAACGGCAGCAACAGCAGCAACAGCAGCAGCAAATACAACTCTCACCCTTTGTCTCGGGGGTCGACAAGTCGCCTGATCGGCCGACCTCCATGTGGTTCACCCTCTTGTCTTTCTGCCATAGGTTGATCTTGCCCGTGAAACAGGCTTGCTGCGTCACCAGTACCATGAAAGCTGGGCCTGACCAACAATACTCCCAGTTGGTGGCGGCGAGCACATAGTAGACCCACTGCTCGCCGCCGGAGGTAGTTCCCCCCCTCGTCTTCACGAGGGATAGCTTCTTCTTGGGCCCGACCAATGCCACTCCGACCACGTTCTCGCAGAACCATGGCCCGATCCTGGTGAGGGGTGTGCTAAGGCGCCGACGGAAAAGATAACAAAAAAAAGTATCGGCGGAGCACTTGAGACGAGGCTTGGGGGTTTTATAGTACAGACGGTTGCTGTCGCGTGGATGTGCGCCGAACTAGGGAGACTTACAAAAAAAAAAACACGACGACACCCAGGGTCAGCGATAGCTTTGCATACCAAAAACGCACAAGGAGCTCCTGACCTACCCGCGCGCGGCGAGCACTACCCCGTCGTACAGGGTGACGAGCATCGTACTCTCGGTTACGGTGGTAGCGGCCACGTCGGGGGCTTTCAGCCGCTCGTCCTCCGCGGAACCAATGGCAACCGTTCGTCTCGACCCCTCCTCGCCGCTATCCCCGTTCTGGGAGCCTCCGATGGTCCCTCCACCGAAAGTCCACAGCACCTTGGAGTCACCCGACTGCACTCCGCCGTCGTAGTCCACCGCCGCCCCGGCTCCGGTGTCATGCACCACTTTAAGTCCCATCTTGGGCAGCGCGTTTCCCATCTCGTCAAAGAAGAGCGACGAGTGCTGGGAGAGTTGAGCCTTGGTAAACGGGGCCTCCATCTTGCGCTGCATCTCGGCCGTCTCCCAGTGGATCATGCTGACGAGGGCTAGGAACTTGTGAAGAGCGTCGCCGTACGGTTGCTTTGTTTCCAATAGCGCCCGGACTGCGTCGTCACGGGTAGCGCGCTGGAACACTGGGTCGTCGCTCTCCTCGTCGGGCACGACACCAAGGCGTGGTTTGGTCTCGACGCCGTCTGTCACTGCGAGACCGTAGTCGGACTCTTGGTATATCCTGACGGCCTCGTCGTAGTGAGTCCGCCGTACAACTATATCTACGTTTCCCTTCCCCTTGATGGAGGCGCTTCGTACTGCCAGATAGCCGGACCTGCGCGGCAAGTCAGCCACGTAAGACGTGCCATCCGTGGAGAACGCTGTTTGTTCCCACTGCGGCACGTCGGAAAACGAAGGAGGGGAAGCGGTGGTCTTTGTTATTCAAAACGATGCACGATGCTGATATATTGCTGGTCAATGCATGAATTCGCCACACAATATCTTGGTAGAGCCGTCGAGCGAAACAACCAATACCAAAGACGTCGCCAGTGGGGGAGATCATCCCTTTCAATTTACTCACTTTCAAGGGTGCCACGTCTTCTTCAAGGTCGGACTCATCCACCACCTCGATAGGCGCTGAGTCCTGGAGGAAGCCCAGTAACCCGTTGCCCTCGTCGTCGCGACTACGTTTTCTGGACTGCTGCACGCGTGAAATCAAGAAAGGCAAAACGCCGTCGACAGCAGGGCGTGAAAGAGGCGGCTTGTGGGTATCACGTTCGTGTTTCTCTACATCTTTACGGTTGGTTGTCTCTATTTACTCCCTCTTTTCAGCGAGCGTAGAACGTGGTGTATTTGTGTCTGCCATCTTCCCCGCAAAACACAGAAATTGGGAGCATGGTACATGACACAACCATCTCCTAAATTCGAAATCCCAGGAGGAACAAATTTAACGAATGAACTTGGTATAGAAAACCTGAATCTGAAACATGGCACAAAGGGAAACGCACACAAGCAGGTGGGTGCCACACGGCCTCGGTGGCGTGTACGACATTCATCGACCATGTAAGGCAACACATATAAGTACATACTTGCCTTCTCTACAAACTTGATGCTGATTGAAGTGGTCATCGTTGGCTCGGTTTGGAAGGGAATGGAGTGAGGCCAGGGGGGGGGGGCTTGCTTGCGCTTGAAACTATCGCAGATGGGAGTCGAACAAAAGAGACGGTCCGACTAATACTGACGATTTCGTCATTGAATGGGTGGAAAATATTTCTGTATGTGCTCGGAAAGGCGGCTGCCGATTTGCAGAGACGGCAGCAATACGATCAGTATATTCACCTCGCTCGAGAAAGCCGCTGCAGACCCCGCCGGGCTCACCGGTCGTGGGCCCAACGCGCCCGGTGTTTGCGCAGCAGGAGGAGGTCTCGTGCTCTGGAACGTGTAACGTGGGTGAAACAATGACGACCCCGTGGGAAGTGAATCGAACAAACAACCATCAGTAGTAATACGGGAGCTTCGGGTGTTGCTGGATGGTGCCATTAATAAGCGGAAGGCTACGGTGGTGACAGCGTCCGAAAGGCGCACTGCTGTGTCATCTTCTATGCGGATCAAGTGGATAGTGCCGGGGATGTGGTGCCATGGGGGGTGGCATCGACTTGTTTGTGTACAAAGTAACACGGGCTGTGCTATGCATGCATGTATATGGCCTCTTTTGCTGTACCTCAAAATACTCACATTGAAGAACTTGGAGACACTAGGTGTGTCCTTGGCGGATTCCTCTAGTTGCTTCTTGGTAAACGCCATCTTTCTACAAGATTTGTCAAGCACAGACCAGGCGAATAGTGAAGGCGTAGAGGTGAGAGGTTGTTTCGAGTTTATGCACATGGGGGTCAGTGTCTAACCCTGTTGACAACGGCTGGCACATCAATCCCAGTTTAGCTGTCCGTGTTTATGCTAAGGCTGAGACGACGCTGAAAGCCTAAAGTCTGGGTCATGAACTCCGGTACCAAGATTGTATCACACAGATGTGCTTGGCGTGGTTCCCTTTTTGGGTGCGGACGCGTTGCCAGCAAACGCCGTCCTCATGTATAATGTATAGAAGTAACGGCAGTATTATCAAGTAGACCGTGCTGAATGGGCAATCTGAGTCTTCTCTCGAAAATCTCTCGCAGATCATGAGGCTCAGGGATGCTGGTGGTCACCCTCGGTGCGCATCCGCCCTAGAGAGTATTTGGTTCACAGGCTGGTCACGGGACGTTCGGAGGAGAGAACAGATGTACACGTCGGGGCACGTGGAAGGCTCTCCCCTCGCCCCCACCAAGTTACACTGGAGTCCACATGTCTTCTGATGCGGCCGTGTAGCATACGTCGATTTGAATTTGGCGAGGCCGAAAAGCTAACGGCTGAAAATTTGAATTTGGACCTAGAGTATTGTTCGAGTTGATGTTGCCACGTAGAAGAGACACAAAAAGGCCCACCAATCACTCGAATCGTCGCAATTCTTCGCCTCTGGTGCTTCGGCGAGGATGTGTGGACGCACGCTTGGTCGTTCCCTTCGAGTGATGGGGGAGTCAAGTTGAATTGAATAGGGGCAGAGGCAGGAGGCAGCACAGAGCAGCAGTCTCCAAAAAAGGGTTCTGGTTTGTGGTTCGGGCGAACCCTTTTTGAAACGCCTCCTAAATGATGCGCTGTGTGCGAGTTTTGATCCACTCGCGGTTGTACGGACAGCCTGGTCTGCTCCACATAGCACTACCGGTGGCTGCTGGTGGTGGTGGAAGGTTGTGGTGGCACAGTAGCAGTCGAAGACGACCGTGCCATCTTGTTGACACGTGCCAACACATCTTTTCTCGCAAAGCTTTCCATTCGAGCATCCTCAGTGCATGGCGGTGCTGGTGCCACCGATCTGTCGTCGATGTATGGGCGCCATATAAGAGTAGCACAAGAAGGGGGTCGGGGATGCACGGTCGACCGTCAACAGACAAGCGTATCCGATGCTTGTTGGTTGATTGAATGGTACGGTTGGGAAGAAGGGAGTTGACCAAAACCAAACTTCATTTTTTGTCTCCTTTCTCTTTGTCCGTCGCGTAGACTGTAGCTTTGTCATGCCTCAATGATGGAGAGATAGATCTAACTGTGTTTTGTCACCCCTGCTCCATTATTCACGGAGAGCCCTTCCTGTTTGTTTGGTTGGGTGATTCCCGAGAGGGCGGGTGACTACTCTGTGCTGGAATCATCAATTCAGTCATCCACGGCCAAAATTCAAATTTTGAATTTCGCCGAAATGCGATTTCTCCGCCGTGAATGACGTCATCGGACGACCATGGAATTTTCGCCTTTCTGTGGAACGTTCCTTTCAAATTTTTGGCCAATCATTTAATTGCTGGCCACCTTTCTCTCTGGCGTTATATTTACTGCGAGATGAGTTCACACAATATCTTTCTCGGATCTTTTTTTTTACTTGATTTTATTATACCCCCCCTCAGCGCCTCTGGAGGGTACATCGGCACCCTTTGAGCACACTATATTTAAGTCACTTTGTATCCTCGAAACGATCTGAAATAGCTTTCTACAGCCAATGGTTACACGTAGATTATTCACTAGGTGGTCTACAGTCAGTAAATGGTCATGGGCAAGGGATCGAAATGATTTTCTTGGATGGGGAAGTGCACCCAAGAACGAGATGCTCGAAATGAATTTCGATCCACATGTTGAGTGAACGAGATCTCAGCCTGATCTACAGGTGGAACATGCAAAACCACTCGGAAAGGAACGCTCTTAAACTGGCGAAGTAAATCAAACGGAAGGTTGGTTGTTTTCCGCATGAGGTGGCCATCGATCGACTCGTAAAATTGCAATCGAATGAATAGGATGAATGATATCCACCAGCCCGATCGATCGTACACAAGAAGTAGGAGGTTTACACGCAGTGTTCATCGCTCAGCTGGCGTGAGCCCACCACAGTCAGCCAGTCATCCTAAACAGCGTCCACGGACTTTACTTTAAAAATGGAGCACAGCAGTGACGATGTTGTGGTTTTCGCTACAATAGATCGTCCGACGTTATACAAGTATGGTCGTCATATGGATTAGGATCTGAGGATTGCCATGCCCCCGCCCGCCCAAAGCTCTTGTTTAGGTGTCATGAATGAACTCCTTCAACTCTCCACTCTTTCACCAAGGGCGAAAAAATAAACATTCATCACGCGAGCGAGCACAATATCACAACCGACATGAAAACAATATTTGCTCTAGCATCACCTGGCTTTCTCTCTCCAAGGGTAAGTGCCGCCTTCTCCGCCACCGCCCCTCTGTTCTAACCGACCACCCGACCGCAAAAAATAAAAAATGATTTCACAACGACGAGGCGGGGCGTTGCCCTATTGATAGGTGGAATATGGATATGATTGTATCGTATGATATCACAAACGAGCGCCTCAGACGGCCGGAAGCGGCCTGAACTTGGGTCTCTTGGGCTCGTTGCCCCCTGCCCGTCTCCGGAGGTCTTGCTCATACTCGGCGAAGCTGCCTTCGAACCACACCTGACAATGAGAGCAGGGGGCAACCAGACGTTAGTCTAGCCAAGCCTAGAATAGCATCCAACAACCAGGCACTCACTGTCGTTAGGGGCCTATCGAAGGAGCAGCGGAGATACACGTGATGCATGTGCGAGCGACACGGCATTGATGGTCAGCTACAATGGTCTACATCGAACAGGAGTCTTCGGGTTCGGGCGACATACAACACGCGCTCAGCTCAATTGAAGCAAGTCCCCGTATCAAGGCAACACGGAATACATACGAATAAGTGGGTCAAGATAGACCCTTTTTCACACCACTGTCACGACAACGACGCGGACGACATATGCATCACTTAACACTTGACCACTGGCACTTTCAATGTACACACATACGTGCCCATGCTTTCCACCCATCAGACGCTCACAAGTCAACAGCAACGCAGATGACATCACGAGTTGGGGTTGGATTTTCATATTCCGGCATGCTCCTGTACCGCTAAACTACGTACGGCATCGGTCAAACTACGTGGAGCACGATTCAGCGGCAGCGGCGTCACGACCACGACCACGACCACGACTACGACCTGGCAACAGCAACAATAACAACAATAATAACAACAACAGCAGCAGCAGCAGCAGCAGCAGCAGCAGCAGCAGCAGCAGATCGTGGAACCATGCCGGTATCATTAACAACGCAAATAGGACTCACCACGCCCCCGTCGTCCTCGAAGGCGAGCGTGTGCGTCGCGACCTTGTCCAGGAAATACCTGTCGTGGCTCACGATCACCGCGCACCCCGGGTAGGCATCGATGGCGTCTTCCAGCGCCCTTAGCGTGTCCACGTCCAAGTCATTGGTCGGCTCGTCGAGCAAAAGCAGGTTCCCTCCCTGCGCCGGCGAGAAACAGACAAATTATAGCTGCAATGTTGTCTCAACTTATACTGCTGTAGCTGCCATCGAGAGTTGTTTCCGCTGAGCGAACAAGCCGAACAGACATTGACATCGTGAGAACGTGAGAACAGTCCCAGCTACAATAACACGTTGCAATGTTGCACAGGGCAAGACGGCACATGCAATGGGATTCCGCGAATCGCGGAGCTGCTCACCTATTCCAACGGCAACGTTTCCTGCGTCTAGGCGCGGGGTGAAAAAGAGCGCCTCATAAAAAATGTTGCCTTTATCCCCGTGGTCAAATAACCAATACTGCTCTGTAGTCCGAAAAGGGGGGTTCTCATAGTCGTGCATGCCGTACATTGACCTCGCATCCCTAGAAAGCCGGGACGGAGCACGCGGGGTTCTCACCGGACCAGGCTCTCACATCGCCAAGCGCGAAGCGCCGTGAGGTATTCGGCGAGTCGCATGAAGGGTGCGCTACATCCTGCTAAGGGTGTTCGGCATCTTGTGCTTACTTCCTTGCATACGGATGACAGCTGCGCATGACTTAATTTATTTTCTGGTGCCTCACTTCCAGACACAGTTGTAAGCACCGTGTAACTGCCTCGAGGGTGCTTGACCAATTTGACACAACGTGGTGCGATCATCCCCCTTGCGCGGAGTGAGGGTTCTCCACCCCGCACAACATGATCTACTCGACCACCATTATGGTTACCGCCAAAAAAAAAACGGAGGTAAAAAAAATAACGGTAACCTGGTTGCCGAGTTCACG